TACAATTCCATCGTCATCATGACAGTGGGCAGGCAGGCGTAGGGTTATAGCTGTAGCTAAGACCTTACATCCTTATCCACAGGCAAGAAGGAGAGAGAGAGAGAGAGAGAGAGAGAGAGAGAGAGAGAGAGAGAGAGAGAGAGAGAGAGAGAGCGCGCAAGCGCTAACTGGGGATGGCATAGGCTTGTGAAACCTCAAAGCCCACACTCTCAAGTGACACACCTCCTCCAGCAAGGCCACACCTCCTAATCCTTCCCAAACAGTTCTTCAGCTGGGCTACAAGCATTCAAACATAGGAACCTCTGGGGCCATTCTCAGTCACCCATACAATACACTTCCAATTGGCTTCTGGAAAGTTCTGTTGTGATTACTAGAGAATTTTTCTGTGAGATGATCAGTGTTAGGACAAGAGAGTCCTCTGATCCATAAACCCTCAAGATAAATGGTTCCTGTTATTCCTTAACTCTGTGAAAATGCATGGATTTATTTTTATTTTTTAAAAAAAATTAAACATTTCATTTTATGTGCATGAGTATTTGTGTGTGTGTGTGCATGTGTGTGTGTATGTATGTGCACCACATGCATGCTTGGTGCCCACAGAACCAAACCTTGGTTCTTTGCAAGAGCAACAAGAACTCTGGTGGCTGAGTCATCTTCTTAGCCCCTGAAAAGGCATGGATTTTAAAAGAGAAATTGGTGAAGAATTTTGAAGCAAAAATATATTAAGAGTAGGTGCTTCATGGTCATCAAGATGGCATGGTGGATAAAAGTGCTTGTCACCAACCTGATATGAGTTCAGTCCCTGAGACTTGCATGGTGGAAGGAAAGAACTGACTTCTAAAGTTGCTCTTTGACCTCCCAAATGTATGGTGGCACTCACCTAAACATACACAGTAAGTGAATAAGTAAATGCAATTTTTAAAAGATTTTGGTTCCTTTTCAAAATTAAAATTGACATCTCAAGTTTTGCCCTGTTATGAAATTTTTATTTCTGCTTTGTGTATGGCTGCTTTGCTTCCGGGCGGGTCTGTATCTGTGCACCACATAAGGGCCATTGTCCACGGAGACTAGAAGATGGTATCCGATCTGCTGGAACTGGAGTTATAGGTGGTGTTAGCCACTGAGGCATCTTTCTGGCCCCTCACCCTATTTTTATAGCATATGTGAATTTGTTTGTGCCTATGATACAAACACTTGACTTAGCTAGAATAATGCACCCTGGGCCCCACAATGTGGCTCATATATTGGAAATACCCATGTTCTCAGTAACTGGACAAAATTTAAAAATTAATTTCCAAGTATAACCCCAGGAATACCTAGAAAATGTAGTATGAGCTTGTGTCCACAGGATGTGTGTAGACATTTGCTTAAGACATAGTAGGTATTTTTCAAAGCCTTTTGTGTGTGATACCATGTTGTAGTCTATAGGGAACAAGATCAGTTATCCACTTGTAAGACATACTTTTAAAAAATATTCTCTGCAGGCCTGACGTCTTTGACTACCTCTGCTTGTTTTGCTACTAATTTGTAACCTTTGACCCCTTTCATTAAAAAGAGAAATGAAGTAATAGTGATGTGGCAGATAGTTACGGTGAGCAGGTGGGAAGAATTCATCCTCACTCAGATCACTCAGATCCTGAGCCCTCACTGAATTCCCATTTGGAAACACATTTCTGGGCACTGCCACCCTCTTGGGGAGAGGGCACTGATAAGTCTTGTGATAGCTCATCAGACCTGGTGGCACTGGCCACCCCTGCTCCCTTACACTGATGCCTGGACCCTTGTCACCCAGAAGCCAATCTGTGGCTGGAGTTATTTTGATGAGATATGCTCTTTTCCTCCAAAGACAATGTGTTCCATCTAAAAAAAAAAAAAAAAAAAAAAAAAAAAAAAAAAACAACAACTAAACAACTATCACACATGCCCATTTCATAACCCCAGTGTGGGGTGGGGCACAGAGGCGGTGCATGGCTGATCCGTATTGACTTGAGATGAGAGGTGCCCCTAAAGCCATGAAAACTGCGACATGCAGGAAAAGGTCTGCGAGACACTAAGGGGGAGCGCTTGAGCCCGCTGTGCCCTGAGCACAGTTCAGGCTCCACTGGCTAGAGAACACACCAGCGTGCCCCATCCCCCAGGCCTTTTGTTCCAGTTCCCTTCCACTCCTCGGGAAGGATGGGCATTGCTCTAGGCTCCTGGCCACCTGTTTACGTTGGGTTGCCGTTTCTTCGCTCTGCTTCTGGCAGCTGTCCCTCCAGAAGTAGGCGTAGAGAATTTGGAAAAAGAAATTGAATAAATTTGAAAAGTCGTCTTTGGCAGCTCTCCGTACTGTTTAATAAAGCAGGAAGCAGTTTCAAACTTTATGCTAGGAAAATAAGTCAAAAGAGACCTTTACATCCACAGTAATTAAATCACGAGGGCTGAGTTTGTGGTGCTAATCTTAAAATCTTTTGGCACATGGTTTCTTCTTGAGTGTATGTATAGATCAGATTCAGACTGTAGGCTCCTGAAAACATACCCTCCGGTTGAATAGCAGAGGTACATCAGGATTCCATTTTCCCTGTGAGCAGCAACAGGGTTTTGTGAGAATTTAGGCCTACTCCTCTGATATCATCTTCTGATTTTTACTTATTATTTTTTCCGCTTTTGAGACAGGGTCACTGTGTAGACCAGGCTGGCCTAAATTCACATAAATCTGCCTGCTTCTGCTTCGAGAGGGCTGGGACTGAAGGTGTGGGCTACCACATCAGCTAGCCACACAGCTATTTTAGAAGCAGTTGTTTTTCCTCTGGCAGTTCCTTAGCCCCAGCAGGGCCCCTTTCCCAGTTTAGCAGTTTGGAAGCAATGCCTTAAAGACTACCAGATGTCTGGGTTAGTCAAAGCCGTGTCTGTTCTCCTTGAACGCCACTCTGCATTGTACAAAGTATGGAAGGAACTGAATTGAAGGGGGTCTCATTACTTTCAACGGTTATCACTACCGAATATGCAAAGACTGAATTGACTGTCTCTTAGTTAAGAAAGAGGAATTACTTCTGTCAGCCTGGTGGTTTGAGGTTCTCAGTGCAGTCCCTTGCGTCTGTCACCTCTTTTGTCCTAAGTCCTTGTCTTACCTTTCTCATCCTGGTCCCTTGAGTGGCAAACTCAGGTTGGAAGCTTGTGTCGAGGCCTGGGAAAGCAAGGAGCCAGCTCACGCAGGGTTCAGGGCCTCACCCATGGCTAGGTCCTTACTGTACCTTTTCAGCACACGCAGCGGGGCTGCCACAAGTCAACAAAGAAAGTTAGAACTTCACATTCACCAGCGACAAATTCTATAGCCTATCCTCTGTGGTGACTCAGAGAACCTCTTCGGGACTTTGGACAATGGAAACAATGAGTTTTCCCAGGAATTTCTGTGGCATGCACACCTTGTAGTAAAAGTAGAATTTAATGTTGCATTGCTTAAGGTAGGCTCAAACAGAGCAAAATTGAGATTAGAACAGAACATAAACACAGGCACGTGGCGCTTTACGTGCATTTCTGGAGCTCTCTGGTGTCAGAGGCAATTAAGCCAGCGCAGGTGCAGTTAGATAAAGAAACTCCAAGTTGTTACATAATGTGATTCAGAAATAGGTGGTCTGTACGGAAGGCAGACTAAAAGGTGACCAAGTTAGAGGACAGGAGAGGAGCCATTGCCATAAAGCTGGATCTTCCAAGCGGAGGGATAGGTCCCTATCCAGACCACAGAGATAGGAGGTGTGACTGGAACCCAGTCGGTCTGGGTTTCGGCCACCATCAGGCATCCCTGTGAAGGATTTTGAGTAGAAAGATGGGGTGTACACTGGAAGCAGCTTGGATGGTGGGCTGGCAGAGTCTGGAGGGGAGAGGGACCCTGAGGTCACCAAAACTCTGGCCACTTCTAGGCTGTGAGTGGGACCAAGGAGGCCCAGATGGTCGGGAGAGCTCTGAGGCAGGGGCTGGAGAGAAGGCTCAGCGAGAACGGCTGGTCTGGCAAGCTCGGGGACCTGAGTTCAATCCCTGCAGCCCATAAAACCAATGCCAACCATACCCTTGCCAGCTAGACTAGCCTAACGGGTTCTAACTAGGCCAGCAAGAGACCCTGCCAAAGGAGGTGGGTGGGATCTGAGGGCGACACCTGAGGTTGTCCTCTGTCCCTAGTCTTCAACACGCCGAAGAGCATCTGGCTGGTGAAGGCTCTGCTAGGTGGGCTTTGGAGTAGGATTCTGAGGAATCAGGGGACATTCTTTTTTACTGTCCCTGAAGATTAGAATCTATTGCAAGATGGGTTTCCTAGCTGAGTACAGTAGTTGTGTATGTGTATAATCTGCAGAGGCAAGAGGATCCAGAGTGAATGAGGCCAGGCTGAGCTACACAGCGAGCTTGAGGCCAGCCTGAGCTACACAGCGAGCTTGAGGCCAGCCTGAGCTATTCCATTCCCCGTCTCAAAAAACCAAACCAAACAAACAGGAACATTGACTCTTAATGTTTCCTTTAAACCATTATAATGCTAACTTGTTCTGTTTCTATTACTTAAATTTTTTATGAGATTTTGTGTCCTGATTTGAAGAAGGGAGCATGCAATGCTGCACATGTATAAGTCAGAAGACAATCCACAGGGAGTCTCCTTCCACTGTGTGGGCCCCAGGGATAGAACCCAGGTCCTTAGCCCTGGCTGCGAGCTCCCTAAGCTGCCGAGCCATCCCGCTATACCTGCTCTCTTTGCTTAAAAAAAGAAAGTATTTGGTTGTTTGGTTGTGAAATTGTAAAGCTAGTTGAGCTTGTGGTCCCCTCATATCCCCCCCCCCCCCCCCCCCCCCCCCCCCCCCCCCCCCCCCCCCCCCCCCCCCCCCCCCCCCCCCCCCCCCCCCCCCCCCCCCCCGCCCCACACCAGCACTGGGTATAAAACCCCAGCATTCTCTCCCTGTGCCACACCCCAGTCCAGAAGGCTGGCTAAGATACTGTTAGCCCAAGCAAGGCTCAGTCATTCTCTCCTCCTTTTGCAGGCATATCTTCTTCTTGCACATTAGAGAATCCCTCCTGGCAGGTCACCTCCAGTGTTCCCCAGAGCAGGCAGTGGAGCTTAGCGCCCTCCTGGCCCAGACCAAATTCGGAGACTACAATCAGAACACTGCCAAGTACAACTACGAGGACCTGTGTGAGAAGGAGCTCTCCAGTGCCACCTTGAACAGGTGAGGCCACCGTCTGAGGCCAGCCGCGTGCTCCGGCTAGCCTGAGTGTTCACAGCCACCGACTTGATAAGCATCAGGAAACTGGCCTGCTGGTGTTATCAGGGGATTTGTGAGATAGAGCGCAGGTTGCTGCCTGGTTTAACCACTTATTTTCAGAAGACTCATGTGCCTTTTATTTGAGAAACTTACCAACGCAAAACAGCCCACACAGATAAATGCCCTTATATGAAATTCCATAAATAACAAGGATCTCGAAAGTGCCTGACCTTTTAAATATGCAAATCTCCTACAGTAAAAAATCTAACGTGTTTGTTGGGGTTTGCTTCATCCCAGCAAGAATTACAGCCTAAGAGGCCTAATTTAGGCGGCTCAGTTACCTGTTTTTGTGTACTCAACAAGCTAACCCCAGCTCAGGTTAAAACAACAGACATTATCTGAGAATGTGTGGGCAGGGAAACAGCTGTGGCCTGAGGACAAACCAAGCCCCAGAGGTCAGTCTCCTCTAAAAGCCTAGCTGAGGGAGACTTCCTGGTCCAGGTGACTCTTGGAGCTTCTTGGCCAGCCTCCTTCTCTTGCCACCTGACCTCAGGGCCCTTGCATGGTGTGGTAACTGGCTCACCTGATGTGAATGAGCCAAGAGTAAGAGAGAGGAGCCAGGAAAGAAGTCAGACCTTCATGACTCCGTCTCAGAAGTGAGTTTCATGCCAGGTCTTCCACCATTTTCTGTTCATTAGAAACCAGCCATTAATGCAGACCATACTCTAGGGAAGGCCACACGGGGAGGTCAGATCTTCAAGGAGCACAGGAGAGACAGCCTGGCCACAACAGAGAATATAGATCTCTGTTTTCTTCAGTTGCAAATAATCTCATCAGGCCCCTGTGCTGCTAGCCTATCAGGAAGCTCGAAAAGTCTGTGTAGATAAATATATGAGGGGATCTAACCTGCACATTTGTCTTGTGTGCATGTTAGAGGATTTTCCATAATTCTTTCAGTTTGCCAGTCATTCCTGCATGATGGGTTCTCTATTTGTTGAGATCTTTTTTAAAAAGTGTGTGTGTGTGTGTGTGTGTGTGTGTGTGTGTGTAAGAAAGCTGGTGAGAGTGACTTCTTTCCTTCCATCTCATGTGTCCTAGACATCAAATCCAAGCCTTGAGCAAGCACCTCTACCCACTGAGCCATCTCACTGGCCCCGTAGTTGCGATTCCAACAGTGTCTTGGGGTATTCTACAGTAAAGGAGCTAGCACTATGGCATTTGGTGCTTTTGGGATCCACAAATGACCACTTCCCTCTAACCTGCCAGTGAAAACTCTGAGCTTTTGGAGTCGAGAGCTGCCCTGTCTAACTCTGCACCTTCGCCTGTTCCGCAGCATTGTTGCCAAGCATAAGGAGCTGGAGGGCATCAGCCAGGCTTCGGCAGAATACCAGGTTCTGCAGATTGTGTCAGCAATGGAGAATTATGGCATAGAGTGGCATGCTGTGAGGGACAGCGAAGGACAGAAACTCCTCATTGGGGTTGGGCCCGAAGGCATCTCCATCTGTAAAGATGACTTTAGTCCGATTAACAGGTAACCCAAGTCTTCAATACACACACATACACACACACACACACACACACACACACACACACGCATGCACGCATGCACGCACGCTCCTAAGCATGTATATTATCTGTTGCTTTTCCCTGAAAGTAGAAAACGAACAGAAATTCTCCAGATATCTCCGTCAATAAAGTGACTCATTTTTAATTTATTCATTAATTGCATTCAAGCCTTAGTGATTTAGTTATTTCTTAAATGCTAACTTAAAGTACACTAGTGTGGCAGATTGATTATTTCTCATAGTGGCTCAGGCCACAAATAGCTGTGTCTGCTTCTGCACACACACACACACCGAGGGCACCCCAACCCTTGTCTCCATGCCTCACGCTTGGCCTGCGTCAGTGTAACCAGTTAGAATCATCACAGAATGCCCCAGGCCAAGTGTCTGGTTCACTTCCGGTCGGGGGCAGCCCACAGAGGCATAGCCACACTATGCTGCGCTGTCCCTTCTGAGCTCGCTCACTCTTCTCCTCCTGCCTTTCAGGATAGCTTATCCTGTGGTGCAGATGGCCACCCAGTCAGGAAAGAACGTCTACCTGACCGTCACCAAGGAGTCTGGGAACAGCATCGTGCTCCTGTTTAAAATGATCAGCACCAGGGCAGCCAGTGGGCTCTACCGGGCCATCACCGAGACGCACGCATTCTACAGGCATGTACCACTGTGTGTCTCCTAAGTGTAGGGCACAGCTTTAGTGTGTTTGGGTGACAGGCAGGTTGCTGTGAGTTCTTCCAGCCCTGAGTCTGTGAGTGCTTTACAGAATGAGAGAATAACTTCTCTGAGCCTTATATGCTATTCCAGTAGAGCCCTTGTCGCCGTAGAATGGTGTGCGCCTGTGCCTCACAGGCTCCTGCCTCTCTATTTCCTTCCCCCATAACCAGCATAACCCCAGCGCCCTGGGCCTGTTCTGCCACCGCTGTGTCCTTTCCCACAAGTGTGGCACAGGTCTTTCCCTGCTGAGAAAGTCCCCATCCTGAGCCCTCACACCTGACAGACTCAAGATACTTTTTAAGTTTAATTTAATTTTACTTGGTGTTTTTGATGACAAAATCTCACCGTGTGTCCAAAGCCAACCTGGAATTCACTGTATACTGCAGGCTGGCCTCGAACTCAACTGCAGTCCTCCAGTCTTGGCCTTCTGACGGCTAGGCCTGCTGGCATTCAGCTAGTCACAGGTGGGGGAACGCCTGGCCATAGTGAAGGTTTTTAAACAGCATTCTAGAGGGGCCTTTCAAGCTGGGTTGTGATTAGGTTCATATTTAGAAAAAAATTAAAGAAAAAAATGTAAGTTCATATAGGAAGCCTTCAAATTTTGTCATGTTAAAATAGACTATGGAGCAGAACAGAAAATTGGGAGGCATGTTTAATGTAAGAGCCAAGACTTCAAAGAACAAATGTCCTTTTGCTTCCACAAACTGCTGGATGGCAGTGGCATCTCATCTCCATATTTCGTCTTTTCTTTTCTTTTTGTTTTGTTTTTCGAGACAGGGTTTCTCTGGAACTTGCTATGTAGACCAGGCTGGCCTCGAACTCACAGAGATCCACCTGCCTCTGCCTCCCGAGTGCTGGGATTACAGGCGTGCGCCACCATCGCCTGGCTCTCATCCCCATTTTACAGCTGCTTCCTCGGAAGGACTTGGAGACCCTGAGAAGCACAGTGGAACCATAGAGACGCTAAGCTTATAAGATAGAAAGAACTTAGACATGCACACAGGAGTATTAACTGTCTTAGTAAGGAATGTATTCAGTCCATAGAGTGCTTACCTAGCATGCGTGAAGCTCCACATGAACGGGGCACAGTGCATGTCTGTAATCCCGACAGCACTCAGGAGGTGGAGGCAGGAGGATCACGACACTCCAAATCGTCCTTGGTCCTTGGCAACATAATTCAAGGCCAGCCTGGGTTGTGTGAGACCTTGTCTCAAGGAGGAGAAAAAAGCTGGGTGTGGTGGTACCTGCCTTTAATGGCAGCTCTCAGAGAGAGAGAGGTGGATCTCTGTGACTTAAGGGTCATCCTGGTCACTACTGCTGTAGTGAGATACTGTCTCAACAAAACAACCAACAACAACAACAATATTGAATATCTGCTAAGCCAGTCATGGTGGCACACAACTATAATCCCAGCAAGCAGAAGGGCCAGAAGTTTTAGGCCAGCCCGGGCTACTTTATCTAAAAAAGCAAATAAGTAAGTAAGGAGATAGATGGATGTCAGATAGAAAGATGATGGGTGGATGGTAGTAGATAATTAATAGACAGATAAATAGAAGCTAGATTGAGAGATGAAGGATAATAATGACAAGATAGGAGACAGAGCACCGTCTGTTGATACAGTTTCTATTGATAACAGTACCAGATAGTCTGAGTTCTGAAGCTTCCTGGGCTTTTCCATATTAAATCGGATGTTCGCTGCTACCTTCAGGTGCGACACCGTCACCAGCGCCGTCATGATGCAGTACAGCCGGGACTTGAAGGGGCACTTGGCGTCTCTGTTCCTCAACGAAAACATTAACCTTGGGAAGAAGTATGTCTTTGATATCAAAAGAACATCCAAGGAGGTGTACGACCACGCCAGGAGGGCTCTGTACAACGCCGGGGTTGTGGACCTTGTCTCCCGGAGTGACCAGAGCCCCCCCAACTCGCCCCTGAAGTCCTCCGACAGCAGCATGAGCTGCGGCAGCTGCGAGGGCCTCAGCTGCCAGCAGAGCAGAGCGCTGCAGGAGAAGCTGCGCAAGCTGAAGGAAGCCATGCTCTGCATGCTGTGCTGCGAGGAAGAGATCAACTCCACCTTCTGCCCCTGTGGCCACACTGTGTGCTGCAAGAGCTGCGCAGCCCAGCTGCAGGTAAGTGGCCACTTAGCCCCCTGCCCGTCAAGAAGGGGAGGAAAGCGGCCATCTCCACCCCGAAGGGTCTCTGTCCGGTGACTGCAGTATTGTGCCCTTTTAGAGACATGTGCTCAGCGCACTCTTGTCGCCCTGGCTTCGGAAGTGAGGCCCAGACTGACAAAATAATATATCTTAAAGCTTAACCAAGACCTAGAGTCCAGGCCTGCCTCTTCCATTTTACATGGCCTCTGTTTTCTGATACCACCTAGTAGGAATGTATGTATTATTTGCCTAAAATTCTAGTTAAAGAATACATGTGTTATTGTTAACAGTGACTTAATCTATTTGTATATTTTATCCTTTTCTATACTTATGTTTATTTGCGTGTGTGTGTGTATGAGACAGAGAGAGAGAGAGAGAGAGAGAGAAGCAGAGAGAGAGAGAGAGAGAGAGAGAGAGAGAGAGAGAGAGAGAGAGAGAGAGAGAG